CACAATTCCTACCATTGGTGTTTAAGAGGTCGCACTATTTCAGTTGAATTTTCAATAGACTCTGTGCTTTAGTTGAATTTCACTCAAGTTCTGTCAAAATTCTCATTTTTTTTCTTCTTGCAGACGTTTTCAGTACCAGGGCGGGGATCGTAAAGCAACTTATCTGATGGCATAAGAAATAGTAAGGCCTCGTTAGGCACAGTTTCTCCGGCAGTTTCTGAATTTTTTTAAATGGGTTATCCTAAATTTGAGCTTTCTTAAAATGTGGTCCTGTTTGGTTTTATTTTTGCTTTAACTCCATGCATAACTTCACTATGGAGCTGAAGCTATTTTGGTAAAAAGTTTAGTAAAACCTTTTCTCGTACTAGATAAGAGAGAGGGAGATGGGAGAAGCTAGTATTTTTTCTCCATCTAGCTCTCACCCCTGGGAGAGTGGGTTTTAAGAAACTCCATTGAAGGATTTGTTTTACTTTAACCTCTTTGGTAAAAAAAACCTCTAAACAACTTCTGGAGTTGTTGGGGAAGCTATGTCAAACGCGAGACAAGACTCGAAAGATTTGGACGCTGAATGGAGCTAAAATACTACCTCCTTCCAGCTCCCTCTCCTAGATCTAATGTGAGAAGTGTACCAAACGTTTATCCAAAACAGATTCAACTGCACTAGTAAAATTGCTCGTGGAGTTGAAACGGGGAAAAAGTTATTCCACCAATAAAGCCCACATCACCAAAGAAAAACAAAATGGTGTGAAAACCAAAGGAAGTAGCTCCAAAGTATATCACCACACCACCAAAGACAAACAAAATGGTGTGGAAACCCAAGGAAGCACAGTCATCTGCGTCTACCTCTCCTGGACCAGATGCTTCATCATCGAGCAAGAAATGAAAGGAGAAGAGTCATGCTCAACGGACTTAAAATAGTGAGCCCTTGCCGAAGGTAAATCGGTAGTTATCACATATTTAATTCAAATACATATCTAAGTTTTAAAACTCAAATTATATATTCAAAACTTAAAATTTAAATTGCATGTTTAAATTGTTGCACATGCATCAACATTTACAAACCCTAGAAAACATAATAACAATAAATAATAATAAAACTGGCCCTCGAGATTGTCGTTTTGTTATATAGCAGTCGGAGGACCATAGGCGTGAGCTAGCTTGGGGGAGCAGCCCCACACAGAAGTAACTTGTCTCTTGCATTTATTTTACTATCTTGCATAAATAGAAAAAAAATAAAAGACCAGAAAAATAGAATGTGATAAAAAGAACAAAAATATTTATTCCACTCTATATATGTGTTGTAAGAATGTTCTAGTTTCTCCATGTTGAAATGATGAATAGTTGCTCTGTCTTATATTTCTTCAATACCTAGTTTATAACTTAGTATTTCCCAAGATTTGAGTTTGTTGACTAAAAATGTCTCATCCTAAAACTTGAAACTCGTGGGTTACAAAAGCATGATCCTTTAAGTTGTGAGTTATGATATGGCACAATAGAATTTGCTATGAATTTGTTCTAAGAGAAACTTGACATCCGGAGTTTTTAATTTTAAAAATGCTAAAATAAAAAGTTCATCAATGATAATATATCCTACCAAGGCCATATGACAGAATACAATGCAAAACCCTTAGTCATAAGCTGTTTGTTATCGTATTGAGCTTTGTCAAATTGTTGTGACCCGTGTGAGATTTTCGTCATGTACCCATGATCAAGATTCACGTACACTCCAGAAATAAAATGCTGACTCTTACACTAAGAGTCACGCAATAACATTTTATCCGTCCACCAAATAAAAATACTCCATCCATCTGTCATGAGTCTTTCTCTAAAGTTTTCCTTTGCCAAAAGAAAATTTGGGCTAAGTAAAAAAATCTATGCCAAAGAGCATGAGATCCATGCTAAAAAGCATGAGAAAAGAACAGAAAAAAGATGGCCCATATTTTTAAACAAAAGCAAAGAGAGAGTCATGTAAAAAGGAGTTTAAAAAAAAAAAAAAATCCACACACTTGCACTTCTTGATCAAAGTGTATGGCTTGCATCTTCTTGGATCTGGTTTTTGACTTAGCAAAATTATGTGATGCAATATGCCTCTCTTTCATACCTACCCAAAACTCCACAAAAAGCTTATTAGAAGTAGGATGAAAAAAAAGGCAATATCAAAAGTCTTTGGTGAGGATCATACACATTTGAGCGATTGAGTTAATCATTCCAGGATCTAAGTTGCAATTGTCGTTGTTGGCAACTGGCAAATAAAAGAGTCTGAAACAGCATCAAGTTGCAATTGTCGTTGTCCAGCGTCGGACTCATACCTTGAAAACTGAATGCAGATCAGTAGAAGTTGTGGATTAATCCTTTAATAGATCAGTGAAGTTGTGGATTAATCCTTTAATACAGAGAACTCGAACTCAAAAGCTGATAAAATTTACCATACATGCATGTGCTGACCTGAGGTCTGTTACCAGAAGAATCAAACATATTTGAAATGTCTACACACGATGAAGCTCTCTAGAACTCTGGATCTCAATGTTCTCTCAGACGCCCATACCATCTAAGCTACACAACACCTGTGACTATATAACGGATGTTATTCTTTTAACTGCACATTTATAAATCTTATAGTGTATATTTGACATCTTCTACAAAGTTGTAGATCTTGTCGAGCACTACAACTTCAATGTCAAATTTATCTCCATTTGACATTGTCAACCATCTCAAATCCGATTGGAGAACTTATTTATATAAACCATTTCAAATTAAAAAATTGTCAACTACAAAATTTTAGATCTTTTTGAACTCTACAATTTTGGTACAAAATGTCTAAATTTAGCTTCATATAAAAAATATGATTTTTTATGCAAAACAACCTATTATTACTGGTTATAGCCTCAAGCCGGCATTGAAAACATACCTATCACTGTCCAGCAGTGAAAACCAACCTAGCAATTGGGTCTCCATGTGACCACTCTAGACGGCTCCTCACCATCTCCACTCAGCCAAAACTCTAGAGGGTGCTCGCTAGGATTTTCTATCTCTCAAACCATTGAGAGTTTGATCTATGTTCTTCAATAATAATAATAAATATTTGAATTAGGAACAACTTTTATCAACATCGACTAGGCTGATTATGTTTGGTATTATGAGAATTAGATTGATGAACAGGGCCGGTCCAGGGTCTGAAACTTGAACTCGGCACCGGTAGCAACTTGTCTGATTGCCGACGACGCTGACCGACACATAGCTGTTGCTGCCGAGACGCCACAACTAAATATTGCCATACCCTGCGCCATTGTCCATCCGCTTGTTGCTGCGTCCTTGGTGATTGCACCATCGTCGTGCCCTTGGACAACGATAAGGGGGTGTTTGGTTCCCCGTCTCCATCCGCCACGCCACTAATAATAAGTAGCCACAAGTCCCTCTCTTTATTCTCGCCGCAGGTTGTGGCGGCGATTTTCTCTCCCATACTTGTGGCGCCGCCGTAACTGAGGTGTGGCGCATCCAAATAAATGCATTCCTATAGCTGGGATGGAGGCAGTATTTAGAAACACAACATTCATGGATGAACAAGCCATCAGAGGTGCTCCAACTCCAACAAGCATGTAAATGTGATGCATCTCTTCTTTGGAACCAGATACCTTGCTTCATGTAGGGTATCTCTATTTAACCTTTTAGAGCCAAATTTAAGGTTTATATAACAAAATCATCCTCCAATGGCCTCTATCCAACATCCTATCGTTGACAACCAAAATTGTCCATTTTGTTAAGTTGTCAAAATGTAGAATGAACTTCATTGTGTTCCTTTCCTCTGGTCGAGATGGTAAAAAAAATATGGAATGTCCAATTTAGAATTCGGATGAAGAAATTACGTCCTCGAAAAAATGCTCCAACATTAGATGTTCTGACCTATATCAGAAGTGCTGACATACATCGGAACTTCCGAGAAACCTAAAAAAAATCTTGTTGGGTTCCGAGGTTCATCCTACATCGGAACTTCCGACGAACCTAAAAAACGAACCTGTTTAGATCCAGCCTTTTGGATTCCAATCCTACTTGCAAAAAGAGTACTTCCTGTTCAATGTCTCATCTGGTATGATCTAGATTCTTTCATAAATGTTTCACATCCAAAATCTCGTTGAAAATATTTTTCAGTGAAACATAAATCACTTACTAGAATAGTTTGGCTACATGCTGATCCAAAATTTTCCTTAACTAGACTAAGTGAGAAACATCTTTTGAGGTGGTAAAATCTTAGGTTGGAATGTTTAAGGTGATTTAGGATCAAACAATATTTGGTAACAATTTAGAAGAATCCACCAGAATCAGAAACATTTCACCTGTTTCACATATGTGAATGTGACATTGAGGGCATATGTTTGAATACACCTGACTAGTACTAGATGGGGCTAAAAATTAGCTCATATTACATATAATTGGCTAGCTAGTTAGCTAACTAGTTGAAGACTTATCTACAAAAATTAGCTCATCTATTAGTCCTCATATTTGGATGCACTAGAGCTAATTTTGACTATTTTTTAGCTAGCTTGCAATTAGCCCTCATATCCAAATAGACCCTTATTAGTGCACCAGTCTATAGGGACATTTCACCTGTTTGACAATTAGCATCTCACAATGGAGACTACCACTTTCTCGGCAGTGAGTGGGTGAATGGAAGAAATTTTCCTCGAAAGATCCATTTTCCATTCATGTTGTCGAATTTCATCGCTGCATGCAACAGCAACACAGTATTCTAACGGACTCAAATCTAAGGAACATGCAGATTAAGAACACATTATTATGGAACCTTCCAAGGGCAAATTAAGAACACATTGCTCATTGCATTTTCAAACTTGTAACATATGTGTCGGTGTCATTCATAAAACACTGATTTAGAGGGGGAAAAAACTGAAGTACATTGGTTGTCTGCCGTCCCCTCAAAAGCTAAATATATTGCTCAACCATTCATCACCTCGATTACCAAGGATCCAAGCAATTAGAGTTAAATACTAGACCTCATCGAACTTGATCTTTTTCGCTGATGGTTGAATGCTCCCTATCTGTACAAACAAGAATACAGCGGACTGTTTATAAGAAATATATAATGAGGAAGATAGGTGTCCAGACCGATAAAAAATGATCACAAACTACCAAAAATTGGGATCACAGTGCTGTTTAGAGAGTGAACTAACGAACTACTGAAAATAGACAAACATCAGAACTGGACCGGTAATCCTATTTTATGTTTGCAATTTATATGAGAAAATTGAAACATCAACAGGCGACAAACATCATAATGTTGGACAGATAGCAAATAATGTGACGACAAAGCACTTTCTCGTGCCCTGTTTTGGATTTTAAGACTTAAGATTTCCAACCCCAATTCACGCACAATTATTCAGAACTCCAAACCAACAGGTCCTATAGTCACACTTCATCTTGTTGTCAAGGGAAGAGATCCATTATGAGATTACAATGCCATCCAGTCATTATAAAAAGTGCTACTGTTGCTAATAACTAAGTCAACCTACTACTTAAGACCCTGTTTCATGAGTGAAAACCAACAATACACAAGAACACAATTCCATTTGCATAATAAATTTGTATCTACCATATTCTCCTAGTTAATATTAGAAAAAAATTCCTTAACAACCTTTCCTACATAGTATTTGAAAGTCCAAGGCAAAACTAGAACCTACATACCCATATCTTCAATTGGCAAAATTTAATAAATGGCAGATTATAGCATTGTTATGATATGTACAACTAAAACAAGCTTGTGCAAAAGTTATCCTAACCGTTATCAAGGCTGTAACTTGTAAGGACTACAGGTCCTGTTTGGAAAGGTAGTTTTGAGATCTAAATCCCATGGATTTAGTATAAAGATGAACTAAATACTGAGATTTCCTAGACCAAGCCTTCCCTTCCAACAGGCCTTTAATTACTATGTTAATTGTCAAGTGAGTAGCAACACAGTAAAATAAACAGTGCTTTATCACTGATCTTCACACAATACTCAAAAGCAGGAAAGCATCAATTTTAGCCCTGATCGGCTGCACTTTTGCAGCAACGGCTACTCAGTTTCTACAGTAGCCGCTGGGGTGCTGCAGCAGCAGCTGCAGCAATCAGTTCACATCGCTGCATTTGTATATGTGATCAAGAGATGACATTAAATAAACTGAAAGCAGCAAAAGGTTTACTTACAAGAGCTGGACACTCGTAGTCAATACCAGCTGCCTTGATTCTTTTGCGACGCTTTTCATCCCGCTTTACAATTCCTTCAACCATCTTTTTGTGCTCTTCTACAGTCTTATCCTGGTAACAACATAACTATTCAGTACAATGCACATATTAAGCTACAATTGTAGTTAGCACTTAGCAATAAATTACCTTATTGTGTCTCTTCCGTTCGATTGCAACTCGATCAATAGGTATAAATCCCCGTCGCACCCCTTTCCATCTGAACAGAATTGATAAGGCATGGAAATTGCAAATCAGAAGAATTTCAATCCCATTCTAAACAAAAACAAAGAAACAGACAGCATGACAAGATCACAAATATAGGTCCATTATGTTTAGGACAACAACAGTCAACAGGGTCTCCAATCCAATATGACACTTTGATTAGCAATATCTTAAACATATATTGTCTTATTAAATGCAAAGTATTTTCGTAAAGAATTTGGTAATGCACTAATGCAAATCTAGTGTTAAGTGTATAAATTTTTAGGTATTGACAGTCGCATATTAAAAAATTAACTCGCGACAAACCTGGATGGACTTATATTTGTGATCAGAGGAAGTACATCAATAAAAGTATAAATGATATGCAATTATATTTCTGTACATACTACTGCTAAAGTGCTAAGTTCCATATCAAGCAAGCACATAAAAAGAACAAGGATACAGGAAGACTGTTTCTTAAAATGTCAGATTATGTCCTCATCTAAAACTTTATGCCCCCAAGTTCTGGTTTTTTATTTGAGGTTGCAGTTCCATCATCCAAGCCAAACATATACACCCATTCAATGCAAATACATAACCACAACTTTACAACTCAGGCACCTAGTTGATTGGTGCACAAAATCATACATGCAAAGTGTAAGAAACTTCAGCCGTATTTTTCTTAAGTTAACTAAAACCTATTTACACTGATCATTATCATTTCAACCAACTATATGTTTTAGTATTTGTCTTAGAAGTCTATGTTAAGTTTTAATTTCAACAGACATATGTGCTTTCTGAAAGATAAAAGTCACTTCCCATAACCAATGTCACATCAGGTGCATTTCTGCCCATGTCTTCACACACCACAAGCTTATCTGAGTGATTAAAACCCAGACTACATGGAAAATCAATTCTACTTCTCTCCTATTATAAAGATAAGTGCAAAAACAAACAGAATCAAGTAGTCAAATCTAATAGGCACTTAGAGAGGCTTACAATTTAGGATGAACTTTCTCCGGCGGAACAAGTGAAACTTGCAAGGTGTGCTCAAACAAGAGATAGCTATTCATCTCATCAGCTACAATCTTTGCCACCTGTTACACCAAAGCACATGACTAAAGTTGTAAGCAACCAGCAAATAGCATACATTTGCTGCAATGAGATCTGAAATAAAGTTCTTACAACAGGGCTCTCAAACTCAATGAATCCATAGTGCTTGGACTTTCCTGTCTGAAAATATCATGAAACCATAAGTTCACAAAAAAAAAATAGCACAGAAGTCATGGCATGTGCAATACTACACATACCTTGCGGTTCCGGGAAATTCTAAGCCTCTTTATATCCCCAAACTGCTTAAAGAACCCTGCAAAAATAGCAGCAGCAAGAAAAGAGTGCATCAGCACAACGACTTTAATGTCCCATTAATGTTTCACCGTCACTGGAAGGAAACATACCTTGCATCTCGTCCTCGTAGAAGCCATGGGGGATATGCCCTATGTAGACGACTGTGGCGGTGTTCTCGGGCTCTTCAGGCTGCTGCACCTTCCGCAGCTTCTTCCCGGGGCCTCCTTCCAACGGCTGCACCAAGCGCAAGACGCCACAGCAACACCAAGGATTAGCCAAAAAAAAAAAGGAGCTTATATCTCCCATCCCACGGAAACCAAGGAGTGGTGTGGGAGAGCCACGCACCAGGAAGTCCTTGCCCTCGCCGGCGCGCGGTGCCGCGGTACGGCGCGCGAGCACCCGCTTCTGGTTCCGCTTCTTATCTCGCATCCCCATCTCGCCGGACCCTCCTCCTCTCTACCTACTCTCCTGCGCAGTCCTGCGGGACGCCGCCGTTCCGGAGAGACAGCGAGGGAGATAATCAGAGCAACGCGGGAGGAACTCAAGGAGGGTCAAATGGAACGGAGACATTCGGTGGGCTTCTCGTACCTGTACACCGAGCTCGTCAGGCGCGGCGGAGGCGAGAGGCGCGCTGGCGTCGGAACTGGCGGCAGGGAGAGACGAGGCGAGGAGCCGTCACGGGGATGGCCAAACGACGGAGAGGGGTTAGGGTTTGCGGGGCGCGTTCCGCTGCGAGGGAAGTACTGGACCTGCGGCGGAAGTCTTGGGCCGCGGCCGAATATGAGAGAGATGTATGGGCCGTTTGCTTATTTCATTAGAACGTTGACAGGGTATGCGTTCGTTGGGCCTTGGGTCAAGTTGGTTGTGGTTAGTTGGGCCTTTCAGCCCTTCCTCTGTTTTTTAAGTTGCGCCAAAAGATGAGCGAGACGAGAAAAGCTTATGATTGATTTTGATAATAATTAAGGAATTTGCTAAAATTAAGGTGCATGAATTTTAGTTTCTTTTCAGGCAACGGTTATTGTATGTATTTTATACTAAAATTGTATATTTCATTTGTTGCAATTTCTGTAAACGCAATCTGCAGTTTTCGGAACTGAGAATAAAAAACCCGTTACACAAGACTATAAACCCGACAAAATCTAATTTGTGTTGGCACAAAGATAATTAACAATTTATAATTATTTTCTATAGGAAGACGAGGACAAAATTTGATATGTTATAACACAAAGACAAATAAAAATCACAAAAGCACTAATTTACTTGTACTAGTTACATGTACAAGAGTGTTCTCTGAAATCATCTTAAAATTCAGACACCTGAAATATAGGAAAAGTGGATAATTAAATATACCCCCTGTATCAAAAAAAAATTGTCCTGATTCAAAGCTAGAATTGCAATTTTTTGAGACAGAGGAGTACTCTTCTTGTCTTTATGGGTAGTTCGTCTCAATTCAATCAGCATGGACTAGTATAACCCGCTAGGCCGCTACAGACAGGCATGGAGTTGTAGCTATGAAGCCGGGGTTTGTCTCTTTTCTTCTTGCTCCCTTCCCATATGTTTCTCTCCTTTCTCTTCTTTCTTTCTCCTCAAGAATATAGAGGGAAAGGGAAGTGCTCCATTGCTTGTGGTGCAGTAGTAGAGGTTTAAAGGTGTGTTTGGTTTGCAACTAGAATAAGCCATACCTAAGTTTTGGGCTTGCCAAAAGTTTAGCCAACAAAAAGGGCTCCAAACTTTTGGTTATCTTTGGCATAGAAAATGACTATAGCATGTCTACACATCTATGGCACACGATAAGTTTAGTGATGAATCAAACACTATCGACACGTTGAGTTGTGGCACGTTCTGATCATCGACTAAACTTTCCCTAAGTCTCTCCCGCCGCACAACTAGATTTATCCCTAGCTATAGAAATTAAGTACGTATGACAAATTCATGACAAAATCTAAAAAAACTTAAAAAATGTGTTTTTACAAGCTTTTGGATTTTTGTCACTACAATCGGAGAAAGTTGATCCATCATTTTTTATCTTTGACAAAGTTATTCATCAAGACCAATCCTAAATAATGGGAAACGATTATGATTTCTAAGGACAACAGAGAAATGGCTATTTGGCCAACAGTGCTTCCGTTCCTTCCCATTGGATATAGTATGTCACAATATGCATAGTGTATATCTATCTAAATCTTCGCAAACTTTCATGGTCATTGGTTTTACCCTATTCAAAGTGTTTGTTGGACCTATGTAATCACACTCAATTACATAATTGAATTGCCTAACTTCGCCATAGTATTCATCCTTCACTTATTGGCTTCATCAGCCTTGTAGTCAAATGCCCCTGGATGATCCCTACTGAAAGATAAATCAACAAACGATGTAATGAAATGGAGGGATTAGCTACAAACGGTTAATTTCAAGGTAAAAAAGGATCAATGTGAAATAAGCATCCATGCTCTTATTAAATACTCCATCCATATTCTAAAATGTAAAACATTTTGGCTTTTTTAATATATTGTTTTTACTATACAAAAACATAATGTATATCTAAATGCATAGAAAAACTAAGTATTGATTAGGAAAGCCAAGATGTCTTATGATTTGGAACGGAGGGAGTAACAAATCACTATGAAGTCATAGACAAAAGTAGTGGAATGGAGAGAGTATTGTCGAATTTGGAGGCCCTGAGTATCTCGCCAATGTAGGTCATTCACGTCGCACCTGATCACATTGCATTAATCAATCGCATTCACTACAACCGGAGATGTGCTCCGTCTATCAATAAAAATTATAATTATCATTTTTCATGGGGTTAAACAATTTTAACTTTGACTAAAACTATATAAAAAACTAATACTTATTAATAGATTAATCATGAAATATAGTTTTATTGTATATTTATTATTATTAAATTCATAAATTTAATAATATTTTTTCAAATTTAAGGTTTGACTTAATCCATACTTAGAATTACATCTTTTTTTGGGAGGGAGTTAATATCATAGATAGAATTTCCATGCTTCGGAATACCAATGCGACCTCTCGACCCCAAATCCATTCACGCGGGCGTTCGCTGGATTCTTATGCGGTGAACGATTGGTCCACTCACGTTTGGCTTGCTAGATCGTTAACGTTATTCTATATTAATTAATTATTGTGAACGTTTCTGTCCAATCATTACCATACGTGAACACGGTTTGCACTCTCTCTTTTTTTTTCTTTTTTCCTTTACCTATTTATTTTATTTCTCTTTTTCTTATTGTTTTTATTTTTATTTATGTTTGTTTTATGTGTTTTTAGTATTCTTTTCATTTTTTATATGTTTTATTCTTCTAATTTTTTTTGGCGATGTTGGCAAGTTATATAGATTAACTTATAGCATATAACATATAACTTACAACTTATTCATACAAGTTGTATTGAATAACTTATGTACACAAGTTTGTATAGAATAACATATATACATAAGTTGTGTTTGATAACTTTTGTAACTAAGTTATGTTTCACAACTTTTATGTTTTTAAGTTTTGCTATAAGTTATAAGTTAATTCGTTGTTTTGTGTGTTAATAACTTTTGTATTTGTAAGTTTTGGCATTAGTTATAAGTTAATTTGTGTCTTTGTGCTTAATAACTTTTTTAAATAAGTTGTGTTTTTGTCGACGGCGAAAAGCGACGGGGAGCCGCCGACACGCAGCAAGCCGAGAGAAACCACGCGTAGCAGATCCCAAGCTCTCTTCGGGCTTAAGGCGGACACTGGACCGGATGGTCGTGACCGAGGGCGTGCCAGTCAATTTGACCCTGTAATTGACAAGGAGAGAAAGTTGATCGGTAATTTAAGGTGTAACATGCCGGCGTTTATCCAGATAGTTCCAAATATGCGGCTAAGTAGCCGATGAAATAAGGCTATCGACTAGAGAGTCGATATCCAGTATGTTCACGATGCATGATAAATAAAATAAACATATCATCAATTGTCATTTACTCAGATGCATGGACCTAACTTAGTCGATGATCATAAAAACATGCGGAAGATACAAGGATAGGCATGTAAACATACATATAATAGACATACTAGCTTTTAAACATGACAAAAGCAAGTAAGAGCATGTAAACAGCCAGTACATCCTCAACAAAGCGGGCTATCGGCTAAAATAGCCGGTTCCAGTGATCTTGTCATATAGCACACATCGCTCATCCATTGGGTATAAATAATTTACAGACAACTAGACTCAATCTATTGTACTGTCAATAAGTCGAGTCGTCTAATGCAGCATTGATGGTAGTACCCTAGGCCAGAGATCAGCAGTCGATAGATCTACTTACATCGCAAAGAAATCGTGAAGGCATGTTATACACGTGGAAGCTCAGGCCATTGGCTAAATAGCCGATGGAGACATAGCGGATGGCTGACGCCATGCTCTTCTTAATAGATAGACCTATCAACCAACAATATCCAATCTGACACGCTATCAACAGATCGAGTCATCTGATGCAACATTGATAGCGGGGTCATACTGGATACTAGCGGCCAATGAATCTATCTCCTAACAGAACATGACTTCAAGCACCTATCATATACGATCAGGATCGAGATAGATTAGTCATCAAAACAGGATCTAACGTCAAAAATTGAATTCAACTGTGACGGTAATCAGCATACAATAGATCAAAATAGTAAGACTAACAAATCTCAATCTAGATCGTTCAATTCATGATATTATATTAAACAGTAAACTATTTAACACAATATCGATAACTTTGATCAATATCAACGTTTACAAGAGATCAGTCGTGTGTTGCAGCCATGTAAAGGTTGATACGAATTGATAACTAATCTATATCGCGATTTGTAAGAGATCAATCGTTTGTTGCAGCCTTACAAATAACAATATAGATCGATAAGTAACTTATACCGCGACCAACAAAAGATCAGTCGTCTATTGCAGCCTTACAAGTAACGATACAAGTCGTGAAGGATACTCACAAACAAGCCGGAGTCAGGTCGTCTGATGTAGCCCTGCTTGCCCAAAGAACTCGTCGAAATCTACTCTACTCCTACTCCTAAGGGGTGGCCTGAGCCAAAAAGTAAATGTACTTGTTTGGTTGATCGATGAGAGATGTCTATTACAATAGCCAGGGTTTATTATTTGTACCTAAGACTTGACTACGAGTCCTAGTCGAAGAAGACCGGTTATGAAAACTTAGAAAAGAAAATAAAGCCTCCTAGATTATGATAATTTGGACCTCAATCTTTTCTTTCTATTAAGTCCGATATGTCTTCCTGCTTCATGCCTTGCCTTTCTGGCTAATGGGGCCCATTCTTTCGAAGTGATGATGTCACCTTGTTAGTTGATTCCGTTAATGGCCTGGTTGGTCGATTTGGTTGAAGACTTCGGCTTCCCTCGATGAATCTTGACTTTAGGGAATTCTGATCCCAGACCAAATTTCAGTGTCAATAGTTTTATAACTTTTGAGTTTTCAAGTTTTCGCATAAATTATACGTTATAAGTTATATGCTATAAGTTATATGTATAAGTTAATACACATAAATATTTACTAGAAAAAATCTTCGAAACATATATAAGTGGAGTCTAGTTTTGTTCGACTCGTCACGTAGAACACACTGGTGTAGACGGAATTAAAAATAGATACACCATTTAGAAGTTATAGCATTTTTAAATAAATGTTTTGTTTTTTCGTAGTTTGTGCCTGCGCTGGCGCCAGCATGCAGGGGTGAGCGCACTTTGTGTTTTCGTGGAGGCTGAACGGGTGCATCTAAAAAGAAAAGCAATGGGATTTTTTTTCAAAAATAGAAAGTTCGCTGTTTAGCGTGGTCGCCTCTCGACCTCTTTGATTTTGAGATCAACTGTCCACTGTCCTTAGTCCTCCATTTGATTTATCCTCCTATCCTACTTGGGCTTCCTAGTCTTACTCCTACCATTGAGATATTCTAGGTCGAGACCGGTGAGAGGCAAAGATAGTAGCAAGACACCGAAAAGGAGCGAATGGGCCCGTGGTTTAGTGGTAGGTCTGTCCAGTGAGACGTTACTCACTAGAGCCTGGTGATCGCACCTTATTCTGGAATTTTTCATAATTTTTAGGGTACACGCACGCGTACGCGTTCGGTGGTACTTTGGCCCCGTTTGGCAGGGCTTCACTTCACTAGTGAAGCCATTTTTTTTTTCTTCAGCTCCACGAACAGCTCCACCGGTGGAGCTGAAGCGGTTTTGGTAAACCGTTTGGCAAAATGGCTTTCCTGTGAGAGCACGTTTTTAGGGGCTTCATCGGTGGAGCCGTTTCATTTTACCCTGTTTGGCAGAAAACGGCTCCAAACGGCTCCTGAAGCCGCTGGAGAAGCCCTGCCAAACGGAGCCTTTGTGTTTCCCGCGCATTGGAGGCGATGTCTTCCAATCTCTTCTTTGCATGTGTACGGACGCGCATGCGTGTGTGCGCGTGTCGTGTAAGTGTGGAGTGTGCGGGTTGTGTACATGTAAGTTGCACCCGCTAAAAAAAGGAGTAGAGTGCATCAACGGTCCCTAAATTTACGTTGTGTCATCCGGTCCTTAAAATTACAAAACAGTCATTTAGGTACCTAATGATTGTTTGGTTCTCAGTTGGGTCCAATCGGGCGTGACACACGTTCCACTAATGCCACTACCCCCTGAGCGAATGCGAGGGCGATCAGAAGAACTTGTGGGTCTGAACCCTGTCGCTGGGAGCCACCATCTCCTTCTCATCAGCCGTCGTCACATCCATCGCCCCTCGCCGTAGCTTCCTCTGTCCTGCATCCGCTGTAGATCGCGCCATGTCTCCGGGTGCTGCTGAGCTCCGTTGCCATGGCTATGGACGTGTTGCTGAGGGAACATCATCAGGGTGTCTGCAGACGCCGAGGAGCTCGTGGGGTTGGGGTCCTGGCAGACGTGGCGCACGGCGGCGTGGCTGCGGTATGACCCGGAGGACGACCACGCGGGGCGGGGCGTACCCTCAATGCTCGCGCGGTTTGCGACCGGCGTGATGCTCGACGCCGGGGACACCAGGCTCGTGCTCGCTCGCATCGGCGTCGCCACCTGGTCGCACTGCCCCGAGGATGCTGCGTTCTGGAATGCCTAGAGACCGGCAGGACAATGACAACGACCTCGTGCTCATTGGTGGCCTCATGGTGTTCTTGCTCTACTGTCGCGTTGTCCATGGCCGGCAAGGCTGCGATGGCGAACGGGCTCCCGCCGAGGTGCGCAGCAAGAGTGAATTAGGAGGCGCTGCAGTGCCCGATCACGCTGGAGCTGGTGACGGTGGCCATCGCCCAGACGTATGACTGTTTTGGAGCTGATTACGGCCATCGGCTTACACTGACGAAACTAAAAACAAATCTAAAAAGCAGTCTGAAACTGAACATTAAGTTCAGGTGACGCGCGCACTGTGGTATGCAATAGACCACGCGTCCATCAAGAAGTGGATCAAGAGCGGGTGCCAGACGTGCCCTGTCACCGGCGAGAGGCTCTGCAGTGCCGAGTCATGACGAATGTCACGGCACGCGGGGTCATCTCGAGCAGCTCCTCCTCAGCCAGGGCGTCTCGCTCCACGAGCCCAGTAGAAAAAGCACCGGCCACTGGTCGCAGCCGACAAGACCGCCACGCTATTCGGCACTGCTGCAGCGGCCGGCGTCGTGCGCCTCTCCGCGGCGTTCCTAATGGCGAGGCTGTCTAGCGGCGCGCCCGAGGAGCAGAAGAAGACGACGTACAAGACCCGTAAGCTCTCAAAGTGAAACATCTTCTAACGGACGTGCCTCGTGGAGGTGGAAGCCGTGCCGTGGTTGCTCCACCTGCTCTCCTCCACGGACGCGCCATGCGGGATCGCGATCTGCTAGGGTTTCCTCCAGCGGGCGCGGCCATGTCGGCGGCGGCGGCGCTCCTCCTCCCCCTCCTCGCCGCCGCGGGCGAGGGGGCGGTCTCGGTCTGCCCGCCGCCGACGTGATCATGCGGCACGCGTCCACCTCCTGTCGGACGGTGGAAGCCCTGGGGCTCCGGGGTCACCGCGCCGGCGTCGTCGAGGTGGGTTTCGCTTTGTCGTTTGATCTCGCCATCGCTCTTGCAGAAAAATTGGCGTCCGGTTGCCGTTTGGAGCGAGGGAATTTTAAATATTCCATGTCGTTTTGCTTCTATCCACCTTTGTGATTTGATTGACTCCTGAAGCCGTGAATCCCATACTAATGCTCGATCTAAGCTCCGCTCATGATGAATTCTTCATATATTCTAGCTTTATTATAAATTACAATTACAAGTAGTTCTTTGTCGATCTTTCCAAGATGATGTTCAGTAGTTTCAACGTGATGCCCAAACGGACTGAACTCAGTGTCCATGGCAGTATTCCTGACTGTTGGAATGAAAAAAAAACAAGGATCAGTTGGCTTGAAAGCTTAAGCATTTGGTGTCCCTTCAACTGCCTCCCTGGATATTCTGCTGAATATCTTGGGTATTGATGCTTGCGGACTGCCGTGCTGGTAGGAAGTAATTTGGTGATACCGGAGATGAGTTATAGCTGACTGTATAAGAGCAGAGAATCTTTTCTGTTACCAATGACTATCCATGACCTTTGAGTTCATTTGAATTCAGCTGGACTCTTATGTTGGATCTGTGCTGGGCAGCCTGGACTGATTGTAGTAGATATATGCCCAGGTCTAGAATGAGTAGCATTTCTTTATTTTATTTTGTACCACCTTCAGGGTTTGACTTCCATTTCTGTATGATATGCACGCAAAAGCTAGTCTGAACATGGAATCTCTTTTATTTTGTAAGCACACACCATCACGATAAATATGCCCATTAATTAAGTGAACATTTTCTTCTCCGTCGAATGTCTATCAATTGCTATATGCTATCAAAAGTTAAATTAAATAACACAGATTGAATTTTCTCAACAACTCGTTTTGATTATCTGCTGCATAGAAGAGCGTATTCAACTTTTTGGAGGGTACCAATGTAAGTTAGGTAGGCTTCCACTTTTTACCAATTCCTTGGCAGTATATTGAAAATATTGCCCCTTCGTTTCTTGTACATTCGGATTTATATACAAAAGTTGACTGGCCAAACTACACAACTAGTAATGCTTCTTGGACTTTAATTTTGTTCTCAAATCTTGAATGGCTACTCTTCGTGTCTGTTACTTCACTCTTCATTTTTATGTATCAGGGGGATGATGGGGCACTGCAAAAGGCAGTAGCACTTGTGCTGCAGAACAGGGAAGATTTTGTCGCTATTCTTTTTTATGCTTCGTGGTGTCCTTTTTCTAAAATTTTCAGGACAAATTTTCAAAAGTTGTCATCCTTTTTCCCAACAATTGCTCATTTTGCTTTTGAAGAATCTAATGTCAAACCAAGGTGCATCTTTCTAAAAGAGATAAACACTGTAGCTAGATTTTACTATATTTGGTATGCAACTCAACTTCATATCTGAATTGCAGAGTACTGTCAAGGTATGGAGTTCGTGCATTCCCGACGATTTTCCTTCTGAACTCTACAGTGCGTGTGCGTTATCATGGATCTCGGGCCATGAATTCCCTTCTATGTTCTATAAAGATGTTACAGGTATTATTTCATGTTGCACTTTAACCATTCAGATGCCATGCACTGCAGATTTAGCATGCATTTTTCCTAGAACTGTAGATATGGTGGTATTTTAGTAGGATTCACATCCCACAGCTTGAGCCACTCTAGCGTTTAATTACCTTTCCATAAAGTTTTCCTAGATTTCACCTTCCTTTTGGAATTCTGAAGGCCTGAATCCTGTATCATTGGACGCCACATCCCTGGAGAGAATGGAGGATACAGTTACTATAATTGATCATGACAAAAAGACTGAAAAGGAGGATTCGCTGTTATCATGGGCAAGATCACCAGACCGGTTACTTCATCAAGATACATGTCTTGCAATGGCTAGCTCCTTTGTCCTCTTGAGGTTGCTTCATTTCCTTCTTCCCAAGCTTAATGCATGTATGAAGCAAGCCTGGAGGACGCCACTTTATGAATTGAATAGGTTGTTCCCTAGCTTGTCTTGAGGAAGGCAATGTGGAACTGGAAACTTGAACTGACTCTCTAATAAGGCAGCATACTTATAAGAAATGATGCCGGCAGCAAACCGGATCACGAGGAAGCCAGTGTCAAGTTAATCCACATTGGTGGCTCATGGCTGAGTAGTGAAAATATACTGCTACCAACTCTGTATACCCTGAAGGTCAGAAGGTCTCGTCAATTGATGCACTGTTTTCCATCCATGTCGAACTCATTCCGTGTCAACTATGTTTGGTCTTTACCTTGGGAGATATCTTAATGCAAAGCATAAGTGACGTTCTTGGAAGTGCTGACTTAATGGCAGTTGTCTGTACAACTGTACCATTAGCCATCTCCGTCTGAGTTCAGATTTGTATCTTGGTGTTACTCCTGATAAACAAAAAAAGGCATGTATTCTAAGAAAGATTGTTCATTTATGTTAGTCATAGGCATGATTGATATGTTTGTGACCCAATTGAAGTATGTACCTTTTGTTTTCCCATTCTGTTGACCAACTGGGTTGTTGTAGTAAAGTTTGCTGGCTGTAAATGGAATTGCTGCCTCATATCAACTTATCAATAATTTTATTTTGCAGGCGATACAATCTTATTTGACACCGTAACCATTAACCAATGTGTCTATCAACCAGTGTGTGTCTCATCGTTTATACCATGTTCAACCATGTCAGTGTTTTTACCCGGTTCGACCAAACTAACAGGTGTTTGTTTTTCCCCGAGTGAAATTGGCATTATTAAGCACAGAATAACTGAGTCGAACAACTTCTAGACCGATAATGAATTGTGTGCTGTGTGGGGATTGTTAGCATTGTTGAGCTTCGACTTAAGCACAAAATCGTATTACGAGCCTATTGGGATTTTCTCCTCTAAACTTTGTAGCTAAAGCTACAACAAGTGGTCTAAAGTTAGCTCTAAACCGTCAACCTCACATTAGAGCTTAGAGCTCAAAAGTGAGCTAAAGTGCTCTAAAACTTTTAGAGCTCTAAAGTTTAGAGAAGGGAATCCAAACACGTCCTAAATTACCATCTTATTCTAGTCTTCGTCTCATCATCAGATGCGGCTCCACTCAGCAAAGGAGATATCATGGGTTCATCATTAGGAGCTTAAATGAGCTTCCCCACAAGGGAATCTCAGCCTAGAAACCTATGAGGTAGTTTCACTACACACAAAAGCCATATTTCTAATAGATGTTTATCTTTGATGATCTTGTAGCAAAGGATCCGAAGTCAAGTCTCTGATTTTGGTTGAGAACTCTGGTTTCTTCTCAGTTTTTGAGTGCATGGAAAATTAAATCGCGTGAACTTTTTTACTTATTAGAGCATCTCCAAGAGTGTCAAAAAAAAAGTTTCTCAAATCATTGAGTTTTCCAAGTTCCAAAAAAGGATTGGAAGCATTAAAAAAGCATTCAACAGGTTTCTAGAAAAACGCCGCAAAAAGAGCTTCTCCGGATGGCAGGTTTCCTCCGAAAACGCACCACCACCTAAGAATCGCACTTCATGAGACCAGAACGCCCATGTCGTAATCCCGGATGGCAGGATCAACTCCTCCGAGGACTGCCACCACCACCACAAAACAGCACCACGCTCAGCTTCATTGGCATCAGCTACAGGTACAATTAAATGTGATTTGAAAATTTATATCTCTTAGATAAACAATCATATTTTTTTGAGCATTTTTTCATTTGAAGTATAAGATGCTCAAAGCAACTTAAGGGCATCTCAAAAATTTTTCACGAAGTTAGAGCTCTGAATCTGACGGAAGTGGCATGGATGAAGTAGGATCAGACAGGACCTGAGGGGATTACGATCTTCCTCTCCGGCTCATTGGCATCAGCTACAGGTACAAGTGCGGCCGCCAGCACCGAGGAGCACGCAAGGCAGCTCTACCGCTGGTGGCCTGCTGGCTTCCTGCCCTGAAGCTCACAGTCAGAGGAGCGGCGGCAGTCAGCATGGTGGCCTGCTGGCCAGTGGCCAGGCACAGGCAGGCGGCGACCTCCAGCAAAAGGCAGCCGTAGCGTGCTGGCAACGCCCAGCTACTCCGCGGGTGAATTTCTCAAATTTAAAATTTAAATTTTGTAAACGACGTACCAAAATAAAAAAAGGAACGATATGAGTTCCCAAGGCATCCTGCTACCGCAGCCACTCAAACTTGACTTCTTGGGTGCACTATCTCCACGACCGAACGTTGATCCTTTGACCACTGCTGGACCGAATGCATGTAAGCCTGGACAGAGGATCAGAGAGACAGAGGGCCAGAGGGGCGGCGCATCTGCCTCGTGGGTCTCGTGACGGCGACGGCGTCACGGCATCTCCCCGCCGCCGCGCTCCGCGTGCATGCAGGTTCCAGCGGGCGCGAAGCCTCCGGCGGCCGGCCATTGTATTCTTTCTCTCCCCTCCTGCCCTTTTTAGGAGGAGCCATTTCTTTTTTCTTCTTAAATAAAGGAACATATTATCTCAACCTCTCTACATGAACCTAGGATGCACAAAGCTCTCTTACACATGAGGCACATCTCACAAGAAAGAGGGGGGAAATGCTACTGAGCACCACCCAGCACCCAGTTGTTGCTGCACTCTTCGCCGTCCATAACTGGGGAGAGCTGAGAATGAGAGAGAAATCAGAATCGGTGACAGCCATGGGACAGAGGGCCGGAGGAAGGAAAACATGGTACAGATAGGGTGATGGACGGTAAGGAACCTCTACCCATGCTTCTATCAGGGCAGAGGCAGCGCCGACGAGGACACAGTGTCCTTGGTTTTGCTCCCTGCCCCTGCTGGACAGTGATTCAGTGAACATAGAACACCCACCTGAGGAAACACCCAAGCCTTTAGCACCCAACCATGGGACGCCTTCTGAGATAGCGGTCTTAGTTTTGGCGCTACACGTTTAGTAGCAGATAGAGGAAACCGATATAGATTTACCATATTTGCTGGCATGGCACGCCACATAGCAGTCCAGCTTGGCTCGGAGGCATTAGGGTCAGTTAAAATGACCACCCTTGCCCCTGGCCTCTCTATTCCCTCCCCCGCGCGGCCCGGCCCACTCTACTCTCCCCTTCTTTCTCCTCTGCCCCGCGCGACGCTCGGCCACCGCAGCGCCGCCGCCACCGATGACGCATACACCGCCGCCCACCCCCCACCTCAAGCCATGTCCCAGTACACAGAGTCCTCCGCCGCTGGAAGGGCCAGGAGTAGGCTGCAAGGTGTTCGGAGTTCCCGCACTACTTCCATGGCTATGGATCCAGTTGGTGAGCTGAGCGGGTTCCCGCTGATCCCTTGCCCGGACTGTGGTCTTGCTCGGGTGGTCGAGGGGAGGACCAAGAAGGACAGTGAAAACCACGACCGTCTGTTCTTCAAGTGCGCGAGGAACGGGGTGAGTTGTGTATAATCTGTTCCCCCTCATTAGCATTTAGGGTTCTAAATCTCCCTCTAAATCTTGTTGACTTTACGGCGGCGGCGGCGGCGGCGGCGCTGCGGTGGCCAAGCGTCACGCGAAGCAGAGGAGAAAGAAGGGGAGAGTGGAGTGGGCCGGGCCGCGTGGGGGAGGGAATAGAGAGGCCAGGGGCAGGGGCGGTCATTTTACCTGACCCTAATGCCTCTGAGCTAAGCTGGACTGTTGTGCTGGCGTGCCACGCCAGCAAATGTGGCAAATCTGTATGGCTTTCCTCTATCTGCTGCTAAAAGTGTAGCGCCAAAACTAAGGCTGCTATTTCAGGAGGCGTAGCGCCAAAAGTTAAATACCCCCAACCATGAACCATCTCCATGCGACCAGGGAGGAAGAGGAAGAGCTGGATTGCATGTACAGGCAATAGCAACCACTGTCAAAGACTGAAAGTTAAGCAATTTCAGGTACACGTACAAATTCAAATTCATTCTTCAGCACGTGCATGTGAGTATTCGTGTTCTTGCTTTTGTTGAGAATATGCAACTGCCAAAATGAATACACCAAACACCAGCACTTGCATTTGGTTATTACGGATATCATACACCAAGGAACAAAGACATGGCTCCATTTTATTCGATACGGTGAATCTTACTAGATTTACCTTTACCAGACCTTGTATACACCATCTATTCTTCTTGCACTACTTTGGAATCGAAACTCTTCCTTTTCGTTCTATTGTTTTTCCTTCCGTTGAGAACATGCAGTTGCCAAAAACATTAAACGTAACCCCCACACACTTGCACCAGTAGTTGAAAACTTTGGTCATGTTGGATGTCATACATCAAAGAACAAAGACAAGCCTCCAATTTTGTAAACTGTGAATCTTTCGCTAGATTTATCTTTTTGGAGACTTGTGTTTCTTTTGTATATATATGTATATGCCACCTTGCAGTGCTTTTTTCTGGATCAAATTCGAAGCTTTATTCTTTCTCCACCTTCTTTATATCTTAATAGCCACAGGACTAAACTGGCAATCAAGTTGTGGGTAGTGGCACAATCCCTACCATTGGTGTGTAAGAGGTCGTACTATTTCAGTTGAATTTTCAATGGACTCTGTGCTTCAGCTGAATTTCACTCGAGTTCTATCAAAATTCTCATTTTATTTCTAGACGTTTTCAATACAACGGGGAGGATCGCAAAGCAACTCAATATAAGAAATAGTAAGGCCTCGATAGGCACAGCTTCCCCGGCAGCCTCAGAATTTGTTTTTTTTTTCAAATAGGTTAAATAGAATATCTTCTTATGTGGAGCTTCTTAAAATGTAGCCCAATTTAGTACAGCTCCGCTTTACTAGCGGAGTAGCTTTTTTTTTCTTTAGCTCTATAAGCAACATCACTGAGCTGAAGCTATTTTGGCGGAATATAAGATCCATTCGGTTTTTTTCTATGTCTTAATCAAAATTTCACAAAACTTTCAAGTTCTCGAGCAGAATGTCAGAGATTTATGTGGGTAGGTACCACCGCTAGTTCGAACGGATTCACTGGATGGCGGGAATTGCGCGATGTAGATGAGCATATGCCGTGGCGGCGTGGCCGACAGCCGAAAGGCCGTCCATCTCGGGGAATTCCGAATTCAGATCTCGATCTTCATGGCACCTAACGGCAGAATTTCTGATGCGCAGCGCAGCCATGGATCCATGAAACCCACTATGGAGATGGCACCAGTGGTCGCTGCAATTCTCAGTCAGATCAGACACAGACGGAGCACAGGTTCAGTTCACACTCGGCAGGCCTGGGTTTTCTTACCCCGGTGGCCGGTTGGGTGATCGATCACGATCATGAACCAACCGTTTCTTCCGGTCACAGTTGCACTGTACGACGAATGCACAACGATGACGGCGTACTGATGTGGAAGCCGATCGAGACAACAACAATATATAACAAAAAGTAATATATATGATCCGCTGCCTCGGGGAATAGTTCATAGTTGGGAGAGGTTGGATCAGATGAGAGGAAAACAATTCAATCCGCTTTCTTTGTCCAACCAACAACCAGGCCAGGCCAACATGATCTGGTGTGAACGATCGAGCAAAGGTTTTGCTTTGCATCTCCAGAGGCCTTTTTTCCCCTCCATTCTAGAGGGAACCGGGTTCTTCATCATCTGAATATCTCATACACACGTCAGGCTTGATCAAAAGGCCCGACTCCAAGGTCAGTAACAGAGCTTTGTGATGTGTCACTGGGCCCGAGTCACCTTTACTTGTTTCCTCCGGCCGGCCGGCGCAGCCGGAGCCAGCCACCGACGAACCGCATCCACCGCTCGCATTGCATGCATGCGTGTAGGTCCGATGGCTAGCAGGGCTTTATTCGTCTTGTTTCTCTCTCTGCGAAAGCAAAGGCTAGGGCAGGAGACAAGTGTAGTTAACAGCAGCAACACTTTGTTAAATTCGTCGGAGAAGCTAATAAGCTCGGCCACTGTGTCTTGTGTGTCAAACAGGGAATCGGCGAGTTGTCAATCTCTGACGGCATGCCGAGGCGTGCTGGAAAGGGAAAGGCGTGACACCGTTCGCCGACCACGGCTCTCCATTGGTCAGTGGTCACGCAGCAGGCTGGCCTTATCTTCACCTGGAAGAAAAGAATGATAGGATTTCTAAACCTCTAGTATAGATCTGCGGGTAAAAACATCTGTTGGTGTACCTTGGTAGCTAGTGCATCCGCGGCGACCGGAGATGAAGTGCAGTGACAGTGCCCGACGACGAGGCGAGGTACAGCGTCCCGGTGGTGGCACTGCAGAGGTGACGGTGAAGTCGGTGGGGTTTCCCGTCGCTGGCAGCATCCTTCTCTTTAGATCGGATAGGGTTAGAAGCTTGGTGGGGTGTCTGGCGGCTCAGGGAAACCTCGTCACTCGTGCCCCGGCCCCAATTTCCCTTTTATGGTGCTGTGCGATGGGGCCCACCAACCATAGAGTAGTTGGATGCCCCCGATCATGGCGTTGATCCAAGGGCCCAATTGACCGGTGGACATCAAACTAACAAAGAAAACCAAGGCGGCAAGGAAGGAACGTAGCAGCAACACACTGGACACTGCCCTGCAGCTGGATTGCAGGTCGTAGCCCGTAGCCTATATAAAACCCCACCAAGGCAACCACGTACCATACCCGTGAGAGCTAGAATCCGTTGCTCACTACTACAGCATCGCCGAGCGTGCTCTAGCTAGAGCTGGAAGCGAGGATCGGAGGTAGACAAGGATGGAGAACAACAGCAACAGGCAGCAGGCGCCGCCGCCGCCACCAGGTCAGATCGATTATTATCTCCGAGTTCGTAATAACTAACACAGATAAATTAAAGCGGGCGCTTCAGCTTCATGGCTGGATTGTTCTTAGCTTGTTCATTAATTCATGGATCATGAATTCATGATGCGTGTGGAACTGTGGATGGATGGACACATGCTAACAATTGAAACGACATGCATGCATGCAGGCTACCCGACGGCGGCTGCAGGCGCCGAGGAGCAGGGAGGAAGCAGGAAGGGACGCCGGGGGAAGACGACCTCGCGCGGGGAGAAAGGCTTCATCGAAGGATGGTAATTACAATCATAAATCTATCTCCTTATTAATTCCATCTTATAAACTGAAATCTTTAGGAGTTAGCATCATCCATGTCGTTCGTCATCGATCATCTGCCGACCTGTCTCTCCTCATGAACTGAACTGTCCTGTGTTTTGGTTTCAGCATCGCGGCGCTCTGCTGCTGCTGGATCTGCGAGATGTGCTGCGACTAGGCACGCCGCAGCTCGCTCCGGGCGGCCATACATACGCATGTACACGCATGTGCATGCATGATGAGAGCCTCCTGCTTTGACAAGAAATATCTGCTCAGCTGCACTGTTTACTTGTTGTTTCGGTGTAGTAAAGGAGCTTAGCTTCATAATTTATTAATAACTGTGATGATGAGATGATACATGCGCTAGCTGCCTGTCTTTTATTTGTGCTGTACGTAGTACGTGTACATCCCGTACTGTACCGTTACTTGATGTGTGTATTGAGTGTTGAAGGTGGCGTTGGTGATTTATATACGTGAACCTTCTAGGTGCTATATATACTTGAAAATGTCTCATTCAATCACTCTCCGTGCATTATCAAAAAAAAAAAAAAAAAAAAAAATCACTCTCCACGTGTGTTCCTTGACAAAGCTCTTATATTCTCAACGACTCGTGGTGTGTAGGTGTCGACATTGTGATTGTGACCTCTGAAATTGCACGATTGACCCCACCCTCTCTTTTATTTAAAAAAATTTCGTACCATTACCCCTGATTAGAGTAACTCGACGCACCAGCACCACTGCTCCTTGCTCTGCCCATGGTTTTGCCACAACCTTATATTACAGTTTTCTAGGCTGTGTCTATAAAAGTATGCTCTTAGAAAGTAACACTAACAAAGCACATGAAATCTAGACAGTAATTCTATTAAGCGAGAACCATTTATGCTTAGCGAAGATATACATAGCCGCCGTTTCTAACATACGGCCGTAAGCCCCACTTCAACCTTGATACGTCGCTCTTCGTTTGGAGAATGGTCTCAAAACGATCTCGGTATATAGCCCTGAAAATTAATAACCTACAAATAATATTGGTTGTGTACTAACAGAAATTGTTTTGCCATAATTTAATGAACAAAACAAAATGCAGGGGACCAATGGTGCAAAGTTGATGAAAGCGAGCGCAGAGAAATGCAAATGGGCTTCCGCTGTAGGGCCGTCTCAGCTTACTGGGCCGTGAGTTCATACATACACAAGCTAACACATTGGGCTTTTATACCTGGGCCTCCCCGCTCCAGGACGCCGATCAACGTCACCGTACATGAGCCGTGGGCTCTTGGATGGCACGCGTCAATTTTGTCGTCTTGGGTTGGAGCTTTGCCTGTCACGACTCACGACGGTCGGCCCAGTCAGCACGGACGGACGGGTGTCAGCTGACTTGGTCAAACTCCGGAACTGGTCGAAACCCCAGAGAGTCAGAGACGCGTTCGGCTTCGGCGCTGTGTGTGTCTCAGTCTCAGCTGTGGCTGCGAAAGCGAATGACACAAGACACATCGGCGAATCCGCCGTATCTAGTCGCGATCGCGACCTGCTACCGTCATAGCAACCCTACTAGACACCTGCCCAGGTTGCTCTGCTTGCACGCTCTGTGAATCCGTTCAATTGCCGCCAAATTTAAATTTACTCGGTTCGTCGATCAGAAAAGCACGAGCAGAAAAGGTTAAAATATGAAATTATTCCACAGATTCACCTGGCAGATCTGATGTGATGCCTGCCTGCCTGCCTGATTCGCACTGCGACCGTGAATTTATCAACTGATGAAACGCCACGGCCTCCCTGTCCCCTGCGGCTGCGTGTCGTAAAAATCGGAGGCCGCGGCCCGCGGGACAGGCAGACAGCGACCGACGACGCATCCATCCATCCCCGGCCGCGGCCAGGTCGTATCCCATCCTCCCGTCCCCCTCCGCCCATGGACGACTTGACCGCTTCGCCGTGCGCACCGCTGCCGCCCCCTTACTCCACCACTCCCACACTTCCTCTCGGTTCCCACCCAACAAAGCCACCGCCTTGGCAGCAGCGGTGACTCCCACCGCCTGCCGCAGCTGCTGCTGCCTGCTGATTGCTCACCTGCCGCACGCGATGGCGAGGGCCGCGGTGGACGTGGAGGACCTGCTGGTGCGCGTGAAGACCGGCGCGGAGGACGAGCTCGCCGCCGTGGCGCGGGAGGTGGCCGCGCTGGCCGGGGACGGCAGGCTCGGGGAGGACGACGACGAGGACGGCCTCCTCGTGCCGGCGCTGCTCGCGCGCCTCGCCGCCGCGGGCACCGCTGACGCCAGGGTCAGTGTCATGGCCGCGCTCAGGCGCCTCGCGGGCTGCGTCGCCGGCGAGAGCAAGGTGAGTTGAGTGAGGCCCACGCACCCGCCCCCGGATCCCCACTCTTCCTTTTCTTTCTTGCCTACGAAATACGAATACATACACGCCTGCGCGCTCTGTGTTCGATGCTATGCTCGTACGCTACTGCTTATACTAGTATAGTACTACCTACGCTACGGTAGTAAATTTCGAAATGCTTCGGTTTTGGACGGTCGACCTCATCATTCCTCTTGCTGCACTTGCGAGAGCTGCCCTCTCACCAAGCTGCATTCAGCTGATTATCGGACTTGCATTGCATCTTCTCCATCATCTTTGTTCTGACAAGCAGTACATTCGCGTCTCTCGACGCACCACAGGAGAGGTTGGCGAGCATCGAGGCGCTGTCCAGCATTGTCCGCTCCCTGTCCAGAGACGTGGACGAGAGGACGGAGGCGATTGCGGTGCTGCTGGACCTGTCGGACATCCAGCAGGTCAGGCAGAGGATTGGCAGGATCAAAGGGTGTGTCGTCATGCTAGTCACGTTGAGGAATGCGCATGAATCAGGCACCGTGGACAATGCGGAGAAGTTGCTCAGCATTTTGTCGTCCAACCCGCAGAATGTGCTGTTGATGGCGGAGGCTGGGTACTTCCTGCCGTTGATACAGTACCTCAAACAAGGTATTATGATCTGGCATACTATGTCTCAGATTGATTTTTTTTAAGTGTGTGTGAACATAAGTTCTTATGGTTTTCTCCGTATCTTGAAGCCTTTTTAACAACACAAGTACCTACAATAAGGCAGAGGCAGTACAAATTTTCCATTTTATTATAAGGTCCAGAAACTTCGACTCTTATAAGAACAATAGCCTCTCGAAGGAAATGGAAGAGATATTGCAAGTAAAACGATGCAAGAGAAGTAACGATTACTTCATTTTTTAATTTAACTACCAAGAATTTTGGTTCCATCACTTCTGTTCACCTCTTTCTTATCCATCAGGCTACAATATTCTGAGAAAAAAGTCACTAGATTAACTTCAGCCTATAAATTTGGAATTCAATGTAGAATTCAACTTTCTCCACTCTATCTAACCATATCATCACCTAATAAGCTTTGCCCTCCTATTTACTTTGCAGGTTCTGACATGAACAAGGTCCTTATGGCAACCGCTATTTCAAAAATGTTCCTATCTGAACATATGAAATCTTCCCTCGGCGAGGATGGAGCTATTGAACCCCTCGTGGACATGTTTAAATATGGAAACCTTGAAGCCAAGCACTCGGCCTTAGGCGCCTTGCGTAATCTCTCTAGCTCTCTACAAAATGCAGAAATCCTGATAAATTCTGGTGTAACAGGACCGCTGCTCCAGCTCCTTTTCTCTGTGACATCAGTGCTCATGACCCTCAGGGAGCCAGCCTCAGCTATACTTTCAGCTATAGCACAATCTGAGCGTATTCTACTTCATAAAGATGTAGCACCTCAGATGCTCTCGCTTCTTAATTTATCGAGTCCGGTAATTCAACTTCATCTTCTGAGGGCCCTAAACAGCATTTCCGGGCACGTGAATGCTAAAAGAGCCAGAAGTAAAATTAGGCAAAATGGAGGGGTGCAACTGCTTCTACCTTTCCTAACAGAAAAGAATGTGGATATCAAAATTGCTGTGTTGCATTTAATGTTCCATCTATCGAAAGATTCTTCTCAAGAATTGGCTGAACAGTTCAGGGAGACCCATCTAGATATTTTGGTAAAGATCATCTCTTCTCCTACTTCTGGAGACGAGAAGGCTGCAGCTGTTGGTATCCTAAGCAACCTCCCAGTGACAGATAAGAAGGTAACTGAGATTCTGATGCAGGCAAACTTGATTCCTACTCTGATCACCTTGTTTGAAGCAAACATCGCCGCTTCCGTGACACCTCAAAGAATGTGGTTGCTTGAGGGCATTGCCGGTGTATTTATTCGGTTCACAGTTACCTGGGACAGGAAGCTCCAGAGTTCAGCAGTTGGATATGGGGTGGTTCCTTGCCTTGTTAAGTTGCTTTCAGAAGGATCAGTGGTTGCCAAGTCTAAAGCAGCGACATCCTTGGCCCAACTATCACAGAGCACAATGGCGCTGCGTAAGTCAAAATCGCCAAGGTGGCTTTGCGTTCCTCTGTCAGCTGAATCTTACTGTATAGTCCACAGCTGCCAGTGCACTGTCAAAAGCACCTTCTGCTTATTAAAAGCCGGCGCCGTCAATCCTCTGGTTCAGATACTAGAAGGTGAAGAGCGCGGAGCAGATGGAGCAGTGCTGGAAGCACTGGGTACTCTTATGCAGGACGAGATCTGGGAGAATGGGAGTAGAGTGATAGAGAAGGCATCAGGCATCCATGCTCTGCTGAGGATTGCCGAAGCCGGAGAGCTGAGTTCCCAGGACAAGGCGATATGGATGCTGGAGCGGATGTTCCGGCTCGAAGCCCACAGGGAGCGGTACGGCGAGATCGCGCAGGCTTTGCTCATCGATCTTGCCCAGAAAGGAGACCCTGCCCTGAAACCGATGATCGGCAAGATACTGGCTCACCTTGAGCTGCTGCAAACACAATCTAGCTACTTTTAAGCGTGCAGGTGTTACTGCAGAGATACTGGCCATTTGCAGTTACGCAGGGCAATGCCATCTGACCGGGCACTGATCTGAACGAAATGGTGTACCAGATTGTGGGCCGTGACGTGCGAATCACTGTAACTTCAGGCTGTGTTGTTTATAGCAGATTGTGCGAATATTTTGCACAGCCTCCCTCTGTTCTTTAACATTTGATGTTTGGTCGGTTCGAAATAGAACCAATCAACGTCAAATGTTAAAGAACAAAGAGAGTGTTGTTTTTTCCCCTTGTAGATCCAACGAGTTTTGCTTCAAAAGAGTGAGAACATGTAGGATGTATAGCTAGCCATGTGTACTCCTGTAAAGTTGTAAAGTGGTGACAATGGCAATAGCTTAGATGGAGAATATATTGCCATTTGTACAGCAAACTCGTTCAGCGGAGAAAGTTGAGTCGTTTCCATTCGCATGTGATGCGTTAATGACTCGTCGTGACTCGTGAACGTGTCATGTCTGTTCTCCTAGATAGAGAAGTGTGTTTATCTGGAGTGGTATGCTTTTCTGAGGCCGCTCCATCTGATTGTGTGGGCCGTGAAGTGTGCATACCTGTAACTTTAGGCTTATGTTGTCATAGCAAATTGTGCGAATATTGGACGTTGGTTAGTTCAAATCTGAGCTAAGTGTGGCCAAATACTAAAGAACATAGGGAGCATTATTTTTCTTGTAAGTAGATCCAACGAGTTTTGATCGAAAGAGGAAGAAGATGCAGGCTGTATTCTCCTAGATATGCTGATGATTTTGATGTGCACAACACATACACATGTCGCATGTTATCTGGAGTAGAGTATCGTGGCAGCGAACCCATGTCCTATCGAATCCGTCAAATCCGGTGCGGTGAGTGGCAACCAGCGAGCCAGCTTTGCCAGGCGCCCAGGCCCAGGCGGCGACGGCACCCGTCATCGGTCATCCGCATAGTTGGCCATGCAGTCCGAGCCCGTCAGCCCGGCCCAAGCCCCGTTTTTTTGCCTGGCCCAAGCACGGCCCGCCCCAGCGGCTAGCGGGCCCGGGCTAGCCTGGCACGGAGGAGCATGTTGTGCCTGGGCCTTACCCCAGGCACGTGGGCCGGCACGGCACGGCCTGCTACAGAACAAGCGGCCCGCTAGCAGCCCCGCCTGTCGTCTCCCCGCGCCCCTCTCCCCGCTCGCACCTTCCCCGCGCCCCACTCCCCACTCCCCCCTCGCCCCCAGTCCCCGCGCCCCACTCCCGATTCACTGAACCCTAACTCCCTTCCCTCCCCTCTCGCCCGTGTAGTCCCCCCCATGCGGCGCTGGCCAGACACTCCTCTCTCTGGCAGCAGCCGCCCAGACTCCGCGATTTTTGCTCCTGTCCTCCGCTCGTCGGCAGTGACGTTGGCTGGCTCCTTTTCTCCTCATGGCGCAACGAGGAGCGAAAAGGGCTGACCCAGTGCTCCGCGCCTCGGGGCATATTGTCATGGCCTGCGAGGACGAGGCTGTCGGATCCGGCTCAAGCAGCTGCTTGCCTGCCTCGCTTTCCCCGCTCTCTCTCGTCTCTGTGGCAATGCGGCCTCCTCCATGCACCGCCGTCGCCTGAAAGGCGGCGCGGCAATGGCCGGGCGGCCGGATCTGGCGTCCGTTGCTGCGCTTCGACGGCTGACGCTGCGGATTCGCCTCGAGGTTGTGGCGGAAGGCGGCGGCGCCGACCGCCGCCACCGCGCTCCCCGTCGCCCTCATGTTCTTCCCTTTCTCTCTCTCGATGCCGCACGACGACGTCGTCATCACTGCTTTGAAGCGGGCCTTGGGCTAGCTTCGGCCTCCTCGACAGTCAGGTTTACCGAGCCTACCGACACGAAAAACAGCCCAGCCCAAAGTAGTGTATGCGGCCGGGCTGGTCAGGCTCAGGCTGTGGCCCTTTTAGGCACAGCTCGGTGGCCCGTTAGCACCGTGCCATGCTTTTGTCGGGCCCGTGCCGTGCCGTGTCAGATTGGCCCGTTGGGCCATCCGGTGAAGTTTTACCATAAAGCCCCTGCTGAATCGCACGTCAGCCCGTCCCGTGGCACTTGTCAGTTCGCGTTCGCCACCATCCTCTCTCTCTCCTCCCAAGTCCCGAGCCCCGTCCAAAACCCCCCCACCAATCCCCCAAACCCAACCTTCGCAACAATGGCGGCGCCGCCTGTCCAGCCCGTGCCACCCGCCGCGGCGGCGGCGGCCGTGAACGGGGACGGGTTCCGCCTGGGTTTCGTCGGCGCGGGAAACCTGGCCGAGAGCATCGCCCGCGGCGTGGCGGCGTCGGGCGTCCTCCCGGCCTCCGCCATCCGCACCGCGCCCCACCGCCAGCCCCGAGCGCGGCGAGGCTTTCGCGTCCTTCGGCGCGTGCTTGCTCCAAACCAATGCCCAGGTATCCCCCTCGTCGTCTTCTTTTTTCCCCTTTGCTCTCCGGTCCTCTTGATTGAGCGCGCTTGTATTTCCTGGCACATCGCCGTGGAAATTCGGCTCTTACGCGAATTTTAACCCCCCGTGCGTGCTAGGTTGTCGACGACAGCGATGTGATCGTCATCTCCGTGAAGCCTCAGATCGGTAAGTGCCGAGTGTGTGTGTTTTGAGTTTTGCTTTCTGGATCCAAGGAAGTTGATTGTGCAATCTTATGATGTTTAATTAATTTCGTGATCCATGAACAATCCTTTGCTGTGTCCGATTTGTTCTCGTGGTATTTGTTTGTGATTCTACCCATTGTTTTAATCATGCACACACATCGAATTGCAGTGAAGCAGATTCTACTTGAGCTGAGGCCACGGCTGTCAGAAGAAAAGCTTCTGGTGTCCATTGCTGCTGGCATCAAGATGCAAGATTTGCAGGTTAGCGTGCTTTTGAAAATTTTACCATCTCTATCAACATGATTGGATGTGGTACAACTAAAAGGGTCCAGTAGATAATGCATTGTTTCAAATATTTATTATTATTATTCCATTCCAGTTTACCAGGAATAAACTGATGACCTGTGTTGTAAATGGGTAGTTCAGTATGTAAAGCATCTGCTCATACTCATTCACAATCTCTTGATCCGACCCGAACAAAATAGAAGAATTGCGTATTGGATGAACCACACTATCATGCTAGTTTCTTCCTGAATTTATACTTGCAAGGTTCTGTTTCCTACAATTCTAAATTCATAGAGGGATTCTGCTTGTTTTTATAAAATTGTTTTTTTATCTGTTGGGTGTAACAAGGTCATGATTGGATTCTCTGAGTAAAAATTGTCATACAGATCTACATTTTACAGTACATGGAATTATTTGTATGACTATATTTGTTGTGTTCAAACAATTTCCTAATAGATCCAATTGAATTGCTCATGTTATCTTTCAGTTACCTGGTAGTTCTTACTTTATCATTCAGTATCTCAATATGATAATTGCCACTAAAACTACATAAAGCAACAGTTTACCTCTGTCAGTATTTAAGCTGCTCTACTATCTCAGTGCTATTATATTATTATTTTCTCTAGGTCAACACGTTGTCTGCTGTGTTGGAATTCTATATCCTAAGCCCCCACATCCTTCTCCTTTGATTTCAGGATTGGTCTGGTCAACGGCGTATTATTAGAGTAATGCCCAACACCCCTTCAGCTGTTGGACAAGCTGCATCAGGTAGACTTTTCTGACAATCCATGACCCGTTTTTAACCTATGAATAATACATGAAATGTGGTATGCCTTTTATGAATGAAAATTTGGTAGGCAATCTCTGTCATGAAATGGCTGCTTTGTGTGCTTAATGTTTATGATTATAGAAAATTTGGATGCACTGAAAAAATTGAATTATCTTTCATTGTGCTATACTAAAGTAAATTATCAGGGGAGGTAACAAGATGAAACACCGTCTGATGTTTTTGCTTCTCACAGTCATGTGCTTGGGAGAGATGGCGACTCAGGATGATGAAAACCGTGTAAGAAAACTGTTCAGTGCCATTGGAAAAGTTTGGACAGCTGAAGAGAAATATTTTGATGCTGTAACTGGCCTGAGGTATGTAGCTGACTGTGTATGTGATACTGAAATAGGGTGTCAACATTCAAGAGTGAAGCTAATTTCTGTATTTTTAATGTTAATATAGTGGTAGCGGCCCGGCCTACATTTTCTTAGCAATAGAGGCCATGGCTGATGGTGGAGTTGCTGCTGGACTTCCTCGTGACCTTGCCCTTGGTCTTGCGTCTCAAACAGTGAGTGTTCATTCCATTAAGATATGCTGCGATCCACTCTTTGTATATGCTGTGTGATTCTTTTAAGTCACCATCTCCTGATAGACGTTTGTATTCTTCATTAAACTGAGTTCCTTTATGCATTACTGTATCTTGGTTCAGTAAAACTGAGTTCCTTGTGCATTATACGTACTCAGTTTACTCCACCGTTGTCTTTTTTTTTAATATTAATATAGTGATTTCTGTTTATCGTCTGCTCTTTCTCATAGACGTTTTGGTCTATTATATATGTTGTTTAGGTTCTTGGTGCTGCAACCATGGTCAGCCAGACAGGTAAACATCCAGGGCAACTGAAAGACCAGGTCACTTCTCCAGCAGGGACTACCATAGCCGGGATTCAGGAGCTCGAGAAGGGCGCATTTCGTGGAACGCTGATTAGTGCTGTTGTTGCTGCCGCAAAGCGTTGCCGCGAACTGTCATAGAGTTCGATCCATATTCATTTTGGCGGATTTTGACAAGGATGCATTTTGTTGATATACATGCGTTGGTCTGCAAGGTGCAAATTGTTTGGAATATTAGATTAATAATGTATTGGTGGCTTTAGAGCGGTGAGATGTAATCATGGTATTTTGCAGAATCAAGTGACAGTTATGATAAGTACATGTTTCCTTGCAAAGCTTGGTGTAACCATTATCATCAAACGGCGAACCTTAATCATCAATCTAGAAACTAGGGCAAATGTTTTATTCAAGAATGCGACTTTTTTTTAGTTTTTCACAGCCCAGAGAATTAAGCGCACATTTTACCTTGTTAAGTTATAATAAGGACATTCACTATTGAAATACGTGCATAAGCAGACACATCGGCCACAGTTTTATACTGCGGTGTTAACCACACACCACAGCATATAGGCATATAGCGTCAGCTAAAAAATCTTCAAACAGTATTAAGGTTTATACTGCGGTGTTAACCACAGTATATAGGCATATAGCATCAGATAAAAAATCTTCAAACAGTATTAAATTGGATCACAAAGTTGGAAATACAGGACCTTGACAAGGTTTTCACAGCAATCTGACATACAAATCTCATAGTACCGTGTTACTATACAATCAACTTTTAAGCCTTTGGCTACAGCAGAAAAATTCACATGTAATTCCTTGAATACCATCGATCTTCTGGAGTCCATTTACCTTCGTATCTTCCAAGCGAGTATCCCACAGCAGGTACATCAGCAAGATGTAGGGGATCTGGTTCTATGCCATAATCAGTCAGTGGACGGTGCTCAAGAACCTTATCATGTTCAATAACAAAATCTGGAATTTCAACCTCCCCCTTTCTTATATCGCCCCAGAGATACTCCAGTCGACTAATGTACTTGATTTTCCAATATAACCTGTAACAGAATAATTAACAGAGGTAAGGAAGTTGTTTGTTAATGTTCAAAACTGAATAAAAATTTAGCCACCAGCATTAAAAACAAAAGGTCAATGGATCAATAATATTCTTGGCAGCTCAGATGGAACGACTAGAAGAAAATTGCAGCATTCTACCTTGCCAACAATATCCAAATATTCAAGACTTGACAGTAAATAAAGAATAGAGAGCAGTAAACAAGACAGCAAGTAAATAAGAGTTTATTGCAACATTGCAGTCCATTTGAACTCTATTTTCTAAAAATAGGGACTGCTACAACAGCTGATGACACGCTTACTTGTCTGTTTAGAGACTTTACTCATTCTGGATAATGCATGTAATGAGTATTCAGTATAGTGCATGCAATGAATATTCAGTAATGACTGTTTATTTCCATTTTCAACATTTACCTTATTAAGAAGAATGTAATTTGCATTCTACTTTAACTGTCTATAAACATATTTGTCTTACATACACAAAGAAAAGTGATCAGTTGAACTTTATTTGTGTATAATATATAAGCATGACTATTGAGTACAGACAAATCTAAAAAAAAAAAGACTATTGAGTACAGAGAGGATTATATAGGCATGTAGCATCCTTGTTTTGTTTACAATGTACGAACAGCTTCAGTAGCTGCCAGCTTATATAACAGTAATGCCTGAGAACAAGATGAAAGAATACTGACCCTCCACTTAAAAATAGCCTGCCAAGTGTGGCGATGGCCAGCCTGGAGTGAAGCCCAGGATGCAAGAAGTAGAAAACTTGAAGCCTTTCCTTGTATTCAGGTGGAAGCTCCTCATAAATGGTCCTCAAGATTGACATCCCAGGGTTGTTATCATCAGACTGTACAGTACTGTGCATGTACAAGATGCAGAATGGACCCACAGGCAATTCAGTGCGGAGTTTGTAGAACACATACTTCTTCAGACGTTCACCATCAATTACTGAAGCTGAAAACCCAAATTCCAAAGTAAATGCCATGTAAACATTGACACCAAGAATAGTCTGGGAAGCAATAACACTAAGCTTGTAGCAACAAACAACAAGGATAATGAAGCTATCGAGGCCTTATTCAGCTTGTTGGCTTGTTAATAGCAATAGTGAAAGAATAAAAAAACTGGACTGGCACTTGCCTTTTTTCTTTCTTCGTCTAATAGAAATCGCGGCAAAGCTTTTGCCGTCCTTTCTCAAAAAAAAATAGTGAAAGAATAAAAAATTGATCAGGTCTACTGATATACTGGCTGGAACTAATAACTTCATACAATTCAGCAAACAGATTGACCATCCATCCTTAATTTAGAATGACCAGAAGAAAATATACACTTTGCTGGTAGAGGAGCTTCAATACAATAAAATAAGCTACAGCCTACATCAGATGTTGTACTTGAAACATGTAAATAGGGTGTGGATGTTACGCTGGGAACCTAATTATGATAAATTCAATCAAACGATCCACATATCCGAATTTTGTTTTTGGATAACGCATATCCGAGTTAAAAAAGGTAGCATATGATCTATCATCCATTGAATAAAAGTTGGTTGGTACGTAGTCCTCAATCTGCAACACAATCGTTACTGTAGGTACTTGCTGGATGGGATTCTGATTTCACCTAAAATTTCACTTCAAGTCTGATATAAACTATCGGCCAGGAAGAGATCTAGTTTGAACCAATCGTTACTGGAAAGCTCACACCTAAATAAAATCATCAAATACTATAAGCGCATGAAGCATCCCCAATCACGAATTGACAAAAACCCTAAGAGAGCGGTGGAAGGACTGCAGCTGTAAGGGGAGCAACTACGTGGTGGATTCGCGCACCCGGGAAGAACTTGCCGACGATGCGGACGATGGTTCGGCCGGCCCGATCGGTGCCCTGGACGCGCACGACCTGGCGCTCCTCGAGGTCGTAGAAGCAGGCGTCCGTCTCGGCGAGGTCGGGGAGGCAGTCGTGCCACACCTCGCCGTCGGTGGGGGCGAGGAGCGCGACGCCGGCGTCGGTCGCGAAGTCGGAGCCCACCAGGACCACGGAGAAGTCGCTCCCGCCGCCGCTGCCGCCGGAGCCCCACGCCATCGGTTGGCTTGGCTGCCGCCCGTAGCTTAGCACTCCGTCTCCGTCTGTCTAAACTCGGCAAGCCGGCCGTCCACTTCCGACCGACAGCCACAACTCGGGCAGAACGAGGCTCTTCACTGTTTTGGGCCGTGACGCGATTTTGGACCGGCGGCCCAATGGTGGACGGAAGCGAGTGGGTTTTGGCCCATCTTTCAGAACCGAATACACTACAGTTCAGGGATGGCCATTTGCTAAGAACTCTCTGTCTTTGCCCGTGATTCTATTTCTAGGAAGTACGCCTTCACTATCTAGGCCCTGTTTGGTTTAAGGGACTAGAGATTAAAAAATGACTAAAAGAGAGACTAAATAATATGTTTGGTTTCAGAGACTAAAAGAGACTAAAGGGCTGAACAAAGACTAAAATATCATTCTTCTTTCTTTGGACAGAGGTGAGGGAGGAGAGAGAGGGAGAGATAAGGGCTGTAAAGTTGGTCCATTAGTCCTAAAAAGCCTCTCCCAAGGGACTAGTGGACTAGAGACTAAAAGTCCCTCCTATTTGGTTAAAAGAGACTAAAAAGTAGTCTCTAATCTCTAGTGCCATGAAACCAAACAGGCACTTAGTGTATCCGATGATGTGGTTTGAGCGTGCACCATGCTAGCTAGCCAGCGGGCTTAAGTTTTCTTTGATTTGAGTAGAAATGTTTTCATCTTTTTGAAAACAAACAAAAACCTTATTTCTTCCTATTGGAAGAAAAGAAGTCTAAATGAAACTCTAGGCATTATGCAAATTATTATCTTTAGGTTTGACAAGTTGGTTACAGTGACTAATCGACATTGAGTGATACATTTCCTTTCTCCTTCCTACAGGAATAAAAAACTGAAGCAAGAAGATAGATAGAAATCAACTCCTGTAAAAAGGAATAGCTACCTTACTGCCTCCAAGCAACTTTAGCTACCTTATTACTGCCTCCATGCAACTTTACTTGCTCGCACGGCTCATCTTATTGGAGTATATGTTAGCACAGGACATATATTACTGTACTAAAATATTATAATTTTTAGAATAATCATTACGGAAAAAAAAACCCCAGTATGAGGCCGTTGCAATCAGACGAGGAACAATTTACAGCATCCAAGATGAAAGCCCACGCGTTCCAGTACATGTAACAGGTATCACGTCTAAATCAGCCAGTAAGCTAACGACCGGAACAAACCGCCAGGGAAAAAAAAAACTACTGGCCAAAGCCACAAGCCTTACTCAGAAGGACAGCTTCTTCCCTGCAGCAAACAACTTCTTCAGGTCTGCCCGACCCTGATCCTCCAATCCTGCATGGTCCTCGCCACTTCACTTGGGGGTTCTACTCTACATTCCAGTCGCCATTGTGCTTTGCTAGGAAGTCTGTCACCTTCTTGTCCACGCCGACACTCACCAAGTAGGCCAGTAATCTGCCCAGGTTTGCTTGCCATCAACTGCAGCTTTCTCCATACACTGATCGATGATTTATGATGATTTTTTTGAAAGAAGATTTATGATGAATTTTATTAAGACAAATATAATCAGTAATGACACATGGCTTTATGTTGAATCTTACATAGTAATGCATATGGTTTTGGCGTGACAAGATACCACAAAATATGGTTTGTAACAAAGTTATACAAATGAATAGTACAAAAATTAATTTCCGGTAAGATGATTAGATGCAGTCCATATTTTCTCTCCAACACTGAAGAAGAATGCTCACCATGGGTGGTATGATCTCCAACCAGCAATACCGATAAAACGAGTTGATCTTGGCATTCTACAGTTCGCAACTACTATGAGCGCAGTGGCTCATGCCATGCTCGCAAAGGTGAATCCAGTCCCTTGAAATGCATCCTCAACGACCTTGTCTAGCCTCTGCGCCATCTCTAGTGTCATGTGATTGATCCAATCCCCAGCAACTCCCTTCCTGAGGTAGCTTTTGTTCTTGGCCCTTGACCTAGTGGTTCCATTTTTATTCACCTCCATGTCCTTCAACTTGCGGAGGCTACACAGCTCCACGATTGAGCTCACCACCCCTCCCTCATCCTCTTCCTTGGAAAATTCACATCCCATGAACTTTGCTAGCTTCTTGACGTGACTCTCTGGCCCAAGCAGCATATCCTCGTACCTAAGGAGCAACACCATGTCAGGCCTCCTCAGGCTCTCCTCCCAGTACTGGAGAACATGCTGCCACTGCGGGCCACCCGGACAGCGGCCTTCGCAGAACAGCTCTGAAGCCTCCTGGATCGTGAATGACTAGGCGTCAACTCCCCTCGCTGGCGCCGCCTTTCTGGTGAACAGCCAGTAGGAGACCAGCGAATCCTTGGGGTCCCGGAAGATGTACACGATCCAACACCCTGAGCGCTCCTCGGAGATGCTGCTAGGCAGCAAGGAGTAGGGAAGGTGCGTGGCCAGCACACGCGGGGACGTGAGCGCTTCAAACTCATCCTTGTTCTGGTATGGTAATGGTTGGGAAACTGATCAGAATACCAGCTCTTCTAGACTGCAGGAGCCGGTTATCTCTCAAGTTCCTTCCAATATTGTTGAGAACGAGTTCGATTCCACTTCGCCACAAGACTCAGCTGCGATAGCTAAGGAAATTACAAGTGATGGGTTCATAGCCTCAATTTCTAAATTTGTACCAGCCCCTATAATACCACAACTACTAGAAGCAATTCATGAGAAAGAACCCAATGATCATGAAATGGGAAACACATCTGAACCATCTCAAACCCCACCACCACCACCAAGACCATATATCTTTACCCCACAACGTTAAAGTATTAGGTTAGCAAAGAAATCCAAAACCACACAAGGAAAAGGAGCAATCCAAGTTGCAGAGGAGTTGCTTCTCAAAAAGATAGGAGACTTATCGCCACCAACAGCACAAGAGGAAGTTGACCAATTTGATTTTTATGCGCAACATCTCGAGCGTCCACTCACCAAGGCGAACATGGATGCCATCAAGGTGCTAATTGAAGTGGGGCAACACAAAAACAAGAAGAAGAGGGGCAAGATAACCAAAGTGGGATATGGAAATATTCAAGAGCAGACAGTGGTTTGATGGAAGTACTCATCGGCAGCTAGGATGGGTTGTTATGCTCGGTACTGGTTGGTAGAGATAGTTGTTTTTGCTAGTTGGTTCTAGGGCCAAGTTGTTCTTAGTTGCTTTAGTTGTTAGATAGCTGCCAGTGCAGTTGAGTTGCTACTTGGGTCGTTTTCGACCAAGTTGGCTCAGGGTTGAGCAAGTACTGCGGCATAGTCTTTAGTTGTTCGGATGGTGTTTAAAAGTTGGTCGGGATGAGTGATGCACTCTCTCAGTTGGTGGTTTTTGGGCCTGGTTTCCACTACAAAAATTGGATGGAACGCTTGTATTTTTAATTTCTCCATCTAATAAAAATCGCGGCAAAGCTTTTGTCGTCCTTGAAAAAAAAATCAATTTCGAGGGATCTAATATAGTCACGAGGGTTGCAATGGCGCAGTGGATGGTTGTCGTAGAACGGCAGGTTGATGGAACGCTTCATCGTCGCGAAGGTGAGGGCCTTGAGCCAAGTGGTGCCAGACTTGGGGAAGCTTGCGAGGAACATGTCGGTGGTCTTGGCTTGAAGCAGGAATGGACGCCGGGGACGCCTGCCTTCAATGTTACCTCAGGCAGCCAAAAGCTGGCATACCGGCGAAGCGAGAACGGTGGCCGCCTGACCTTGAGGGGCAGCGAAGGGATGATCGTGGCAATGTTGGTGTGAGGAGTCGTCAATGGTGCTGCTCCTTCTTGTGCATTGCCTGGAAGCCATCGTCCTATTGGTGAATCTTAAACGTGAGGTCACTAGTGGTGTGTGCCTAGTCCAGGGTGCACAAAAAGGATTACATGAGAAAAAAAACTTATCTTAGTTTAAAGTTAACAGCGAGAAGTTAAGATATAGGTTACAGAGAAACCAAGATTCACTGAAAGATGATGGTACACAAGTTATCACCATATGATCAGGAATCATTCAGTGAACATTACCACATGAATTGATTGCACTGCAAGTCAGTAACAGTGGAGTAATACTACATCTCCAACTCACATTAAGAGGTACCAGGAGGTGTTGACACTCAAATTTGTCCAAGTGCTTATAATCACCCAGTTTGGATGGCCAAATACTTAAATACACTCAGCTTGGATGGCCGAGTGCATATGTTCACTTCGCTTCACTGGTCGAACACACATGGTTACTCCACTTGGTTAACTGAGTGAACATGGATATATTTAGGCCAGACAATATGATGTCTTCTGAGAATTATTTGATTATCTAGAGTTTTGTTTGTCCTCACAAGGAAGATGTCTGCATCTTTCAACAATTATCAGGATGTTTGTCTAGGATTTTTGGATTTTGTCTATCCTTTGTAGAGACAATGCGGCATTTTGTCTGTCCTATATGTCCACCTGCAGGGATTGTTGTCTGCTCTCAAGGGTACACAAATGCTTGCTGCAGCCTGCATGTGGACAACGGTGCACAAAAGAGAGAATTACTCCATCTGTACCAAAATAGAAGACGTTCTCGCTTCCCGAGAAGTCAATATTTTTTTTAACTTTGATCAATTATATATAAAATAATATTAATATTTATAATACATAATTAGTATCATTAGATAGATCGTTGAATATACTTTTATAATAAACTTATTTGGAGATTTGAATGTTGGCCCCATTTTTTACAAACTTAGTCAATGTTGAGAAAGCTTAACCTGTACACATCCCATAATGTCATTCTTTTTGGGGGCGGAGGGAGTACATGAGAATACCTTATCTCAGTTTATAGTAAATAATAGCAAGAAGTTATGATATAGGTAACGGAGAAACTAAGTTTCACTAGATGATGATACACAAGTTATCACCATCTGATCAGGAATCATCCAATGAATATTGCCACTGAAATTGATTGCATTGCAAGTCACTAATAGTGGACCAATACTACAGCTCCAACTCACATCAAGAAGTAACCGGGGAAAAAAAGGCCAACTACAAAGTGCTCAGGCTTTAAATTACAAGGTATTGAGAAATTTTGCACAAGGCTAGTTTTTTCTCAAGATTGGATTAGGTCAAGCATCAGGTTATTCTGAGCTACATTTGTTAACCTTCCCGAACAGTTTGACATAAGGCACAAAAATCTTACATGCGAGCTACCATTCTAAACCTTGTTCCAAGTTAAGATGAATAGGGCCCAGCTGCAAATTTTTTGTTACTTAGAAGCTGGCACAACCAAAATCCTAATTGTCGTAGCTCAACGTCAAATGAAGAACAGAATAAAGTGAATTGGCTCTGGGAATTTCTTCACGGCCCAACTGTCCATTTTGAACTAGAATATAGGGATTAGGACAATTCTTTCTTGCAAGAAATTAATTAAACAACTAATAGGATATTGTAACTGTGTCGCTATCTATTCACTGACTTAACTCTAATTCAGGATAATACGTGCAACCGGTAACCTCTATGTTTGTTCCTTTGTCAGTGCTTAATTTTTATTCTATACTTTGTTCCCATACTTTTCTATTGTTATAGGAGACTTGCACTCAACGGAAAGATTGGTAGTACGTGATTATTTATGAAAAAAAACAAATGCACAAATACGTTGACAAAACCTAGTTCATACCCTCACTAGCCACTAGCAAGTCCATGCACATGCCTCATCCTTATGGCATCATGTGTCCCCAACCGACACCCCAAGTAGCAGTTGGCGAGGGTTTTCTTCAATCCGCATAGGCAAAACCTTGGAATGCATGGATCGATTATGGAACGGTGGGAGAGGGGGAGAGATTGACTGGAAAGGGAGAGAGATTTTGCACACTTAGAAAGAAGATGCTGGCGACGAGGCGGCACACAATGCCTGTGTTGGTGCTCGGCAAACTGGCCGCGTTTCCCTCCCCGGAATGAACTAATGCAGTGCAACAGCTCTTAAGAGTTGGGCACAGAGAGGAAGGCGTCCACAGGCACGGAGTCGTCCTCGCGGTCAGCATGGGAGAGCAGAAGTTGGAGCCTAGCACGAGTCGTCGATCTGGTGACTGGTGAGGTCGCCGGACGCCATTTCGTCGTCGGCTAGCTAGCGTCCGCTACTCTGCCCCACAGGCACAGTTGTTGACACTCAAATTGGGCCCAAGCCAATTTAAATAGGCCCATGACAGTTTTGGCCTAATCTAAGGAAAACTCGGAAAAACGACATGATAATAGTACCACGTTGGTTTTCCTATGGGATAAGACTACCCCTATTATAAAATAAGGAGTACATGGTCGATTGAGTTCTCATCTATCCAATTGAACAAAAATACAACAACTACCTCTCTATTACCTCTTTACTCTTTCTTCTCACACAATATGACATAACAAGAAAGCAGTGCACTCGACCAAAAAGGCAAAGAAGTCTTCTGTTAGGTGAGTTTGTACCCCATTAAATTTCACAATGAGTGTGTCCTACAAGATATTGAGAATTATAACTTTTCATTATAGGTATTGTGATTGGGTTTTGTGTTGGCTTTGGAATTCTACTTCTTGGCTTGACTACGACACTTTTTGTTAGTAGATGGAGAAGAGAAGTTGAAAGGAAACAACGTAGGAAATATTTTCAAGAGAATCAAGGCCTTCTACTTGAGCAATTAATATCATCGGATGAAAATGCAAGTGACAAGACAAAGATCTTTACTTTGGAAGAGGTAGAAAAGGCCACAACCAACTTTGATGAGACACATATCCTTGGTCGTGGTGGGCATGGTATGGTTTACAAAGGGATATTATCTGATCAACGTGTGGTGGCTATAAAAAAGTCAAAGATAATTGAGCAAAATGAGATCAATCAATTCATCAATGAGGTCGCCATTCTTTCCCAGATAAACCATCGGAACATTGTTAAACTATTTGGTTGCTGCCTTGAGACCAAGGTTCCACTATTGGTATATGACTTTGTTCCCAATGGTTCGTTATTCCAAATTCTTCATTCAAATACAAGTAGTGACTTCTCTTTGTCATGGGTTGATTGCTTAAGGATTGCCACTGAAGTTGTAGGGGTTCTTTGTTACCTTCACTCCGCGGCTTCAGTATCAGTCTTCCATCGCGATGTCAAGTCATCTAATATACTCCTCGATGCAAACTACACTACCAAAGTTTCTGACTTTGG